GAGAGAGAGAGAGAGAGAGAGAGAGAGAGAGAGAGAGAGAGCTGCTTCTTGGACGTTGGCGGCGGCTGGCTGGTTCGTTGGCGAGGGCTGGACGTTGGCAGCGGATGGCTGCTTCTTGGACGTTGGCGGCGGCTGGCTGTTTCGTCGGCGATGGCGGCTTCCTCGTGGATGGCTGCGGGGCTGCAGGGGGGATGTGACGGGCAGCAGCTGGCGGCTTCCGAACAGCGCGCCCGCGAGGTTCAAAAACGGCCTGTTTGAAAGTGCTGGCCCTGCCTCCTGCCACCCCACCTGAGTCTGCACAGACTGTGGTGGGTCCGGCCTTCGCCCGATGTCCGGTAGGGCGAAAAGACACAAAAATCGGCCCAGTATTTTTCCGGGGCCGCCGAGGACCCGAAAAATGTCCTTTGTGGCCCCTTTTTTTCTGATTTTTCATTGGGGGGCCCGGTTCCGGGCGTCCAGGACCGGACACCGGACCCCTACATAATKTTTGGGGGTGTCTGGAAACCGGTCCGGACGTCCGGTCGGTTACCATGCATTTTTCTCCAATGCGACCGTTAACGCACCACCTCCTTCGGGGCTCGGCCTACCGGACCGCAATGGCTGGGGGCGCCAGGTGGAAAAAAAACTGTGCCAGTTCGTTTCTTTTTCAGTGCACAGCACAAATCCACTTCGGGAAAAGGAGGCCCAGAAGTACTGGGGTGCTTTGGAATCACCTTTTTTTTTGTTTTTCCACGTGCACTGTGCAGTGCAAATCCCCTTAAGGAAAAGGAGGCGCAGAAAGTACTTGGGTGCTCTGGAATCCGACAATCACCTGCAGGAGTTTGGAGATGGAGTTGGAGGACTGGAATGTGCTGAGTTGCTCTTAAGAATGCTCGATGTCAAGTAGACACGAAGAGCTCAGTTGCATACAGGGCAGTAAGTTACTGAGCTCAGTTGCATACAGGGCAGTAAGTTACTGGGTTGCTCTTAACAATGCTCGATGTCAAGTAGACACGAAGAGCTCAGTTGCTGATTGGCTTGATGAGTCTGGTCTGTGTCATAGCTTGTGCCCCGAAGAACTCTCATGAAGCGAAGAAATTCGGATCTTTGATAAAGTCAAGGCAAGGAGTGAGCCGAATCAGCTGTGCGCCCACGCCGTCCGGTTAGCGCTACGCTGCCGCTGCGCTAAGCTCGCACCCTTGGAACCTGCAGAGACAACCCGACTGAGGTTCCACTGTAGTCGTATCACGCGAGCGAGCGTCGTCTCGAGCCTCGGGCGCGCGCCTCGCCCGCGCGCGCTTTAAAGATAGGGCCACGTGTGCGCGCGCCTCGTGCGCGCGCCTAAGGTCTTCTCAAAACTTTGCGGAAGAGCGCAAGAAAAAAACAAGGTGGAAGGAGCCATTTTTATCTTCGACATCAGTAGCCATGGGAGCTTAAATGCAGAAGCAGGTCAGGAATTTGAAGGAAGGTGTGAGAAGAAGGCTATGAGGAAGGGGCTTTTCTATCGTCTACACCAGCAACAATGGAGGCTTAAACGCAGTGAGATTAGTCACTAACTCTGATCGTCTTCTCCTTCTACTACTCCCTTTCCTCTACCCTTCGCCCTCAGTTGTGCCCATCGACAAGCTGACTCCCATCTTGGTCCCATCCGCACAGTCTCCCGACCTTCGACCACCACGCCGTCCTCACTCATATCCCCACCTCCATTCCGTCCCCACTTGATCTCATTCCGACCCCGACCTGTCCCCACTCGACCCTACTCAGATCTCACTCCCCCCTCACTCAAATCTCTACCCTGTTACGATCCCACCCGATACCAATTCGCTTCCCACGCCGACCTAACTTAATCCCATCTCGATCTCCCCCCCCAAGCTCCGATTGAACCAGGCATCCGGACCCCGTCCGACTGCTCTTCACCCGATCCCACGCTGGTCCTACCACACCAAGCAGCTATCTTGAGGCCCGTTTGGCACCCTCTTCACCCACATCCTCGCCCCGACCGGTTGTCCCCACCCCGCTCCGACCCCACTCGATCCCACTCCAACTCCACCCCGATCTCAGTCCACTGCCCACGTCGATCTAGTCTGTCCTTACCCCATCCTCCTCTGGTCCCGATCCGGCTTCAGCACACCACCTAACCCTACTCGACGTGGGCAAATGAACTACCTGTGTGCGCGACTCTTTAACCTCTTTGCTGACTGCCTGTGCTGGAGCATCAATACTGCACCATTTCTTTAATTGTCCTTGTGATATTGTAGTAACCTCGCCACTGTTCGTTTTTTCTGAATTGTGCCAGTCCTTTCATCTCAGATGTAAATCACGGCAGTATTCCTGTTCACAGTCCAGACTCCCTCTAAACGTTTCTTCTCTGGTTTCTTCTTTATCTCCTCCTCAGTCCATTTCACCTGCACCTTTTTTTTTGCAGTATTCCTGATGACGGGAGTATTACTGTTCAGGGTGCAAACTCCCTCTAAACGTTTCTTCTCTGGTATCTTCTTTATCTCCTCCTCTCATTCCACCTGCACCTGATCTCCACTTCTATCAGTGGCTTGGTGCCACTCCATGCTGCCTTTCTTTCCGGTTGCTCTTCTTCAATGGTCTTGGCACCTCCGTCTGTATCGCCCAGATTGTTGTTTTCCTTATCATTTCAAGGGGCTGAGGGGATCGAGCTAGAGGAGTGGCTGGAGTGGGTTAAAGGGGAGGAGGTTAGAGAATAGGGTACGCTAAGGTTCTTGGGACCTATCCAAGGGGCAGATTGCCAGTTGGAAGTATGGGAGACAGTAGCGGAGGTCTTCAGGGCATTTAAACGGTATGGTGTGCAACCGTCTGAGCTTGTAGCATGTTATACTGTTTTCAAGACAAATCAGTCGAGCAAGTAAGAAGAACGGCCATGCGCCGCCACCCATAGAATGAAGAACGAGCAGCATATAGTTCAGTTGGTACACCAATGGACTCTTGAAATGCAGACCTCGGTTCGAATCCCACTCAAAATCAGATGGAAAAAAAAAAAACTATATTGTTTTCCTGATTTGTTTTCCTTCGACTTTCATACTCTGTGACCTAACGGTTTGGTCATTGAAAGTAGATGTGTTGCCACTGCAGTTCTATCTCTTCCACTCTCCTCTCCTTGTATTTGTGAGCTTCACACACCCACAGAGGTTTTCCCTTCCTGCAGACTTTTGGGTTTCCTCTGACTGCGTGTTCCTCCACCGTTGCTGCACCTGAACGCAGGGATCCGTGGTGAGCATCTATGAAGTAGACGTTACACAAGATCTGCAGTTGACTCTTCAACCACGTGGCTTCATGCAGAGTGACTCGATATCGCTGCTCAGGGCATCTGCCATGACTGCAAGCCAGGTGCAGGACGATCAGGGCTCCAAAGAGGTGAAAGTCCTCACAGAAGTGCTGAATCTGAGGAGGAAAGATAATGGTAAGCACCCGAGCTCTGATTGAGGACCAGAGTCGACAGGAGTACTGTTTTCTACCAAATTTCTAGTTGTTTTTTTTGGTAATCTCTATGGTAGGCTCGCTGGTTGAGGACATCAGAGAAAAGAATTGCCAGAAGCTGTGTTGCATCCCCTACACATATGGGTGATTCCAAGGGGCCCGTGCGCATACGGGGCTGTATGGCCCAATTAAAACTCCATAGGCCATTTGTATGGGTGGGGCCGTGGTGTGTGTATGAGTTGTGCGCGTGTGTGTGCATCGGTGAGATAGGGCATTGTCATCGTTGTTGTCATTCTCCCCCTCCCCTTCCCCCTCTCCCTCCACCTCGTCGTCGTCATTCTGAGCCGCCTCCTGATATCATCGTCATCGTCGTTGTCATCTTCCTCCATTTCCTCCTCATCATCATCATTGTCATCTTCCTTCTCCTGCATCTTTCTTGGGAGCATGCCACATGGCACGTGGTATTTTTGACTCAGAAAAGAAAGAGAGCAGTCTTTTCTTTTTCATGGTCATCATCATCATGAGCATGGTGGGAGTTAATGTTTGCAAGGGATGCTGGACCCGTTTTCGGGCTTTCAAAATAACAAGTCCAAGGCGGGACACTTGGTTGGGGGTGCAATCAGACTCGCTTTCTTTTTCCACTTCGCACTCATGCAAACAGATGGTGAATCTCACTGGCGCACTGCGCCCACTCAGAGATATGGAAGTCGAAAACACAGTCAGATACAAACTCGCTTCAACAGGCTAAGGCGCTGATACTTCCCAACTCCCGTCTCTCTGTCCAACACCACTGTTCGCACTTACTCAACTCTGGATCACCCTGGATATCCCACACACATACACACTCACACACACACACACTACTCCTAACACCAGCTATGGCCACTGTGGCAGCCAGCTACTGCTAACTATGGCACACTGTCCTCCTCACGGCCCACTTCCACTTCGGGCGACTGCAGACCACCTCGCACAAGTCGCTGGGGCAGCGCTTCCGCATGGNCACACACACACTACTCCTAACACCAGCTATGGCCACTGTGGCAGCCAGCTACTGCTAACTATGGCACACTGTCCTCCTCACGGCCCACTTCCACTTCGGGCGACTGCAGACCACCTCGCACAAGTCGCTGGGGCAGCGCTTCCGCATGGCTTACGCAGCAATGAATCAATGGCTGGACGCTGCCTCTTGATTTATACTTCTGGAAGTCGCTGGTCTGCCTCTTTCCACCGGGCCCATGGTGCACACAGTCCCACATGGTACTTGCTGACTGGACTAAGTGAGACTGGGACTGGGTACCGCTGACTCAACATGGGTGGACTCACCACTTGCCCACTTGCCTCTGGCCAAACGTAAGAATTCTCGAAAGGCCACTTCCGGACCTTCCGGAAGTCCGTAGACTCGGCCTTTCGGAACTGTAGCAGCTACGACCTTGACCTTTCAGGACTGTAGCCGCTACGACCTTGACCTTTCAGGAAGCCTATAGCTACGGCTTCTAGAACAGCTACGACCCCTACTCTATAGACCTACAGATCGAGCCCCTACAACTACGCATCCCTACGACAGACAAAAACCCAACTATCAAGACACAGGTTAAGGGTTCGAACACTCAGGGGACAACAAGATGTTGTACACAGGCAAAGTAAGGTCTAGGGATCGAGCCCTGGGATCGGCATCTGTTACTGCTAAGGTGAAAACTGTTTCACTCCCGCCGGCCTAAACTCGAGGTCCTCTGAGAATAGTTCAGTCCAAGATCTGATTTTTACCTTTCTTATCTCTCTCGTAGGCTCTAACTATGTCGGGAGCTGTTTCTAGAAGCTCAGTTCTGGTACACCAGTCGTCGTCCTCGGGTTCCTGATAAGCAAATCGGACCTTATACTCTTTCTATGGACGACCTCTACCTCCTGTTTTAAATACATCCTCACCTACAATGCCGTCAATGTCGTATCTCCCATCCATGTCCGGAGGGATCATGGATCTTCTTGATGGAAATTGTTGACTTATGACACACGGCAGCAACTTCGATGCATGAAACACAGGGTACTCTATCGTATAGGACGTCCCATCCTCTCCGCCCTTAACTTCTAGGACTGGCCACGGTCCTTTTTGTATGCTGGCAGTAACTTTTGTGAAATATTTTCCTCAGGAGCAAACTCTTTGGACTTAACCCAGACTAGGTCGCCTACTTGAAGCTGTGATGGGCGAAGGTGCTTGTTAGTTTGTTCTATCATTCTGTGTTGGGCCTTTCTGAGGTTCTCAACAGCGGTAGATAACTCCTTCCCGTGCTGTATCGCAAACTCCCTAGTACCGGGCGGTAGCCTATGAATCTGGTCCCGGTTAAGTCCTTCAAACGGTCTTGCGCGGTCTAAAGGACTTGCGCAGCTCATTGGGAGTACGGCAAGTGGCTAGGTGCACGTTGTTGTTATATGCATTGGCTACCTTGGGCAACATCTCATCCCAGTTAATTTGATCTGGTCTAATATGCATGCGCAGAACTTGTTGCAAGATCTTATATGCATCTGCTCGGTCTGACCGTTAGTCTCTGGGTGACGACCAGACGACATTAACAACTTTGACCCGTATACTCTCATTAACTCCTGCCAGTTCTGACTTGTAAACCGGCTGTCCCTATCACTAACTATGGACAATGGGATTTCGTGATCACTAACCCAAAAGTCAAGCCTTCTTAATTACTAACTCTGTACGGGCTTTTGCGGGTAAGGGAACAAAGACAACATATTTGCTAAATCTATCAACAATCACCATGACTTGGCTCTGTCCATGTCTACTTTTGACGCCAGCATCCATGAAATCAATGGACACTGAATCTCCAGGCTGGTCAGGAATAGGTAAGGGTCGAAGAAGATGTAGAGGGGCACGCGTAGTTGTCTTATTTCTTTGACAAACTTTGCAACTGCGAACGTACTCTATGCAGTTGGCTTTCATTCCAGGCCAAGTATACGCATGCATCAGATTGGCTAAAGTCTTTTGCCAACCGAAATGTCCCTCTGTGTCGTGGCACTCCCCTAGGATCAAACTACGGATCTTCTCATTATTAGAACGCACAGACGGTCTACTACGTTGGTCTTCTCGAACAGCAATCCCTCTGTAGCGCGGTAATCTGGTTGAGTCTTTGGGGCCTCCTTAACTTTCTTGAGAAGGTCACTATGGTCCTGCGCATACGCCTGTCTTACTTTCTTTTGCAGGTCTCTCCCTATATCCAGGTAGTGAACTATAGCTCCAAAGTAATCTGATCTCCTACTTAGAGCATCTGCAACTACATTATACTTGCCTTTGACTGGTTTGAGCTCAATGTCATACTGATCTATCTTAGTGGCCCACCTAGTTACCTTAGGTGTCATCTTGGCCTGCCTTTTCAGCCACCTAAGGGTCTCGTGGTCTGAATAAACTTTAAAGTACCTCCCAAGCAGATAATGCTTCCAATGCTCTAAGGCCTGCCTGAGAGCGTAGAGCTCTCTCTCATAAGTCGAGGTAGCTACTTTCTCTGACGACATCCTCGCTAACATAAAAGCCATTGCCGCCGTCCTGCTGCAACACGGCGCCTATACCATACTGACTTGCGTTCGTGGTGACGACAAAGGGCAAGGACGGATCTGCCACCTTGAGGATAGGGTACTCTATCAACGCTCGCTTTAACTTCTTAAGAGCGGATGTACAATCTTTGTCCCACTTCCAGATTGCCTCCTTGAGCAACCTGCGAAGGGGAGCGGCGATGGCAGAGAAGTTTCTCACGAAGTTCCTATAGTAATTAGCTAGGCCTAAGAACGACCGCAATTCTGTCGTCGTGCAAGGCGTCGACCAATCTCTGATCGCCGCTATCTTTCTATCCTCAGGCTTAATTCCATCCCCGTCTAAGATGTGGCCCAAGTACAAGACTTGTGTCTTGGCTCACTCGCACTTCTTCGCATTGATCTTGAAGTTAGTCTCTCTCAACTTCTCCAAGACCTGCCTCAAATGACCTTGATGCTCGTGGAGGGTCCTACTGAAAACTAATATATCGTCTAGGTAAACTACGACGAATTTATCTAACCAAGACCTGAACACATAATTCATGCAGCTCTAGAATGTGGTTGGCGCATTGGTCAGTCCAAAGGGCATCAAATGAATTCAGAATGCCCATATATTGTCCGGAAAGCAGTCTTATGCTGGTCGTTAGGATGAACTTCTATCTGATGATATCCGGACTTCAAATCGATTTTTGAAAAATACCTACAGCCCTGCACCCGGTCTAAAAGATCGTCTATTCTGGGCAGCGGCTCAACATTCTTCACTGTAATTGCATTCAGACCCCTATACTCGATGCGCATACGCAACTCTCCCTCCTTTTTGGGGACAAACAAAACTGGTGCTCCGAAAGGAGACGAACTGGTTCTAATCCAACCCTTTTCGAGGAGTTCTAGTTGCTTGTACAACTCCTCTAACTCCCTTGGGGACATCCTATAAACTGCAACCTTAGAAGTTCTACAGCCAGGATCTATTTCGATTCGATGCTGGACTGGCCGCGGTGCTACTCCTATTGGCGGCTCTGCCAAATCTTTGAACTCGTCCAGCAGCTTGGCAATGGTTGGGTCTATTAGCTTCTCTTCAGTAGGCTCAGTGACAGGCCTCACGTAAGCTACCAAGACCTGCTCTTCTAACTGCTCTTTCCTTACTAATCGCGCGAAGGCTGGAGCACTGAGACAACAATGTGGTAGGGAGTTATCTACTCCTGACACATGAAACAGGCGAGCAGTCTTAACTTCGCCTGATGGACTAGGGAGCCTACACTCATGCTCTCTCAAATGGAGTGTGGCCCCTGCTGCCTCTCCGCAGTCCATACCTAGGACTATATCAAAAGGGAGGTTGTCCTCTATGAGGAGAGTCAGGGAATGGAGGACTTTCTCCACCTTGCCATCTTTCTCTAAGCGAAGATACGTCTGGACACCCTCAACGTAATCCTCAACACGCATCGTGCGGTTGTCTGC